TCTGTTAGACCCATGTTGTCCAGGTCCTTGTTCAGAGCTTTAGTGTCTTTGCTTATTTTTTTGTCTATTGATCAGTCCATTGTGGAGAATGGCGTGTTGAAGTCTCCTGCTATATTTGTATTTTCTTTGATACATGTTTTCATAGATGGCAATAGTTTCCTGATACACTTCTGTGCTTCTTCATTTGGTGCATATATGTTGATGGTTGTTATGTCTTCTTATTCTGTTGTCCCCTTTATCATAATGTAGTGGTCTTCTGTGTCTCTTTTAGCCTTTTTTAGTTTGAAGTCTATTTGATCTGATATAACTGTTCCTGCCTTCTTTATTTGTCCATTTGATTGTAGAACTGTTTTCCATCCTTTTATTTTCAATCTGTTTTTATATTTTGCAGTTAGATGTGTTTCCTGCAGACAGCAGAACGTTGGGTTCTGTTTTTTAATGCATCCTGCAACTCTATGTGTTTTTATTGATGAGTTTAGCCATTTGCATTTAGAGATAATATTGATAAGCTGAACCTACGCATGCCATTTTGTTCCTTTTGTATTTTTATTCCTTGAACTGCTCTTGTTTATTCTTCTGTTGAAATTGGTTTGAGGGTTTCTTGTAGTTTTTGGAGTGGGGGTTTAGTCATGACAAAATTGTAGAGTTACTCTTTGTCTGAAATTGTCCTTATTCTTTCTTTGTAGAGGAAGGAGGGCTTTGTGGGATAGAGTATTCTTGTTTCACATTTAATATTTTGGAGTTTGTTGAGAATGTCCCTCCACTCTCTTCTTGCCCATAGTGTTTCTTCATAGAAGTCTGATGTCATCCAGATTAGTTTCCCTTTATAGGTTATTTGTTTCTTCTCTCTTGTCATTCTCATTATCTTTTCCTTGTCTTGAATTCTTGGTAGTTTTGTTATGATATATTTTGCTGTATTTCTCCTGTGATCATTGTAGTTTGGTGTTCTTCTTGCTTCTTGGATGTCTACTTTCATCTCCTTCTTCATATTAGGGAAATTCTCTTCTATTAGCACTGTGAATATTTTCTCTATTCCTTAGCCTTTCACTTCACCTTTTGAGATACCTATAACTCTGATATTTCCTTTCCTAATTGTGTCAAATAGTTCTTGATATGTTTCTTCATTCCTTTTTCTTTTTACTTCTCTTTCTTTTTTAATTCTCTTTGTTCCTGTGTCTTCGAGGGTGCTGCTTCATGTCGGGGTGCCCGGGACCCCAGCCCCATGATTCAGCAGCCAAACCTGCCTGTTGTACATGTGAGCAGTGCTCTGATTGGTCAATGAATGCTATTTAAGCAACTGCCATAACGGACTCTGGGGGTGGGGGGCAGCAGAGAGGAGGCAAGCTAGAGCGAGCAAGAGAAGCAAGCAAGCAGGGGGAGAGAGAGAAGCAGGCAGGAGGCAGGCTTGTGAGGGAGAAGAACAAAGTGTCCAGAAGAAGATATATCGTGGCGTCTCTGTTGGCAGAGAGTGTGCCACAGTTTCGTTCTTCCATTTCCTCTATTCTGTTTTCATTACTTTTCCCAGAAATCTTTATCTCCTCCAGTGGCCTTTTCATTGCCTGCAATTCTTCTATTTCCTTTTTAATGTCTCATTTTCTTTCTTCAGTTGCTGTTTGCTTGTCTCATATCTTTTATTTTTCTTTTTCATTTCTTTCATTTCTTTGATTCATTTCCTTGTTTGTGTTCTTCAACTCCTTGATGGATTGCCTCATTTCATTTTTTTTCCTTCTGATTCTGAATTCTCTATCTGGTAGGCTGAGCAGTTCTTCTATTTCTTTGGTGGTTTTTGTTGACTGATCTTTTTGTGGTGAATTTCCCCCCTGTGGACTTGCTTGAGTATTTGTTTGTCTTCTTTTCCCTATCGTGTATTTTCTAATACTTTCTATTTGTTGAGAAATGGTGTTGCTATTATTGACCGACGTTCTTTCTGTATGTTCTTTCTGGGATGGCAGAGGGACTTCCAGACACTTCATTTGTGGAGTGTATTCTGAACCTTGTTTTGTTTCAATATCTCCTGTTTTTCCAGTCCCTGCTGTGAGGAATGATGTGTGTCATCTCTGCCAGCGATGCTCAGGGTTCTCTTGTGGTGTTCTTCTTCTGGTAACTCGATGAGTCCTTGTCTGGAAGGTGTCTGTTGATCTTTGTAGCCTTCTGATGTCCCGGGTTCCCTCTTTGCTTGGATACAGCCCTGGAGGGGGGTTGCATTAGAAGTGTTGCAGCTGGACCTTTGGTTGAGTCAGTCACTGGTGTTCATTTTTGAGCACTGTGAGCCTTGCAAGGCACTGCCTTTCTGGCTCACATATCTTCTGGCCAGTGCTGTTCAGTAACACCTTGAGTCCTTATTCTGTACACCCCCCAGTTGTGCAGGCTGTCAGACCTCCCTCTAGGCCTCCAGGGCTGTTTGGGCCCAATCACAGAGCAGTCTTTATCTGAGAAGTCTTTCCCTACCACTTGGGGGAGTGTTAATGGGCCTGTTTTGATTCAGACTGCCCCCCCCCCTTTTATCTCAGGGTCTTTGTGAACTTGCTGGCCCTGCCTTAGTGACTAATGCCGGGCGTAAGCCTGCAGGCCTATGCTGAGGGGTGGGTGAAAGCGTTGCCACCCTTGCTACTGCCCCTGTTACCAGATCACCAGATTTTTCCCCACATCCCCCAGGCTTTATGTGCTCACTTGTACAGTGTTTTCCCCCTGGCTTGGTTCTACTCACTGAGCGGAATGTGCAGGAAGCCTCCATCTGCGGTGCTAGAGCCTGGATGTTCCTTGATCAATCGGAGTTGCAGTATTCAGCATGTCCTGTCAGTGGCTTTTCTGGGTAGGAGTACCCTTATCGGAACTCCCCAATCGCCAGTTCTCCCTCAGTTATCATCCTTCTAGTGAGTCCAGGGTGTTCTTATTTGGTTGAAATTGTAGCATGTAAGTCTGTAGTCTGTTTTTATATAATCCTGTGCGAGCTTGGACATAGCTGTCTCGGTGTCTTTACTCTGCTGCCATCTTGCCCGTTCCAGAGCTGGTCAAGCTGGTCCATCAGCAGCTTTGTGCAAAACCCAGGTGCTCCGAATCACATTTGCTTTCTTTCCTTAGTCTGGGCTCCACTCACCAAGTTCAGCCGTCTCCCTTCACCTCCAGGGCTTTAGCGAGGGGCAAAGCAGCTTCCGCAGCCCACCAAACTTCCAGGCACCTGAGTTCTCCCTGGGGGGCAGTTCTCTTATTGCAACTCCTCTATTGCCAATTCTCCCTCAGTTATCTTCCTTCTAGTGAGTCCAGGGTGTTCTCATTTTGGTTGAAACTTGTAGTTACGTAAGTCAATTTTCCGTTTCAGTCCTAAATTCCTGTGTGAGCCTGGGCTCAGTGACCTTAGCATCTTTACTCTGCCGCCATCTTGTCCTGGTTTAAAGTCTTTCTTTCACATTTTTTTTTTAAGATTTATTTATTTGTACATACAGAACTGGGGTATAGGCCAGAGGCTCAGGGGCAGTGAGAGGATTCACCAGAGACAGAGTGGGGAGCAGAACAGGCAGATCGACGAAGTACACTGCTGAGGGGAACAGCGGGCCGGTCAGGAGAGGTCTGCCACGCCATGTGGTCTCCTCCTCCGGGGCAGGCGGGAATCGAACTCATGCTGAAGTGGCTTTAGCCTCTCAGTGCTGTGCTTTAACCCGCTGCGCCACCAGGGAGGGCCCTTCTTTAACATTTTTAATCACATCTTTTGTGGGGTTTTTTCTGCATCCTGAATCTGTATTTATTTTTTTTTTAATTTAAAGCTTCAGTTTTTATTTTCTGTTCACTACATTTTTCAGGTCATTCATTCATTTATCTGAGTTTTGCTGTATATCTTTGATTAGTTTTTTTGAGTTCTCTTGAATATTACTTTGATTTACTTTCCACATTTTCTTCCATCTCTTTAATTTTCTTTATTGTGACAATTTGACTCTCTGAGAGAGAGATACAACCTTTATCTGTTTGTGGTTTGATTTTGGAAAGTTGTTTTTTCCTTGTGATGTAACAGTAATCTAGATGACCTCTGTACCTTTTTAACAGCACATTACATATTCTTTATCCATTCATTTGTCTATGGTCATTTGAATTGAACACACATTTCTGCCATTGTAAAAATGCTGTTGTGATCATGGATGAATCTACTTTCATTTTTGGGGGGCTACATTCCCAGAGACAGGGTTGCTAGATCATTCTGTTTAATTTCTTGGGGAAACACCATCCTGCTTTACATAGTGGTGCAATATTTTACTTTCCCACAAGTAGTAATAAGGGTTTCAATTTCCCCTTACCTTTTCTATCATTTGTTATCTTCTATGTTCTTTTTTGGTTCGTTTGTTTATTTTGGGTAGTAGACTTCTGTGTGAGGCAATATTTCATTGTAGTATTATAATGTTTAGACAATAAGCATCTTTTTAAATGCTTTTGACCATTTTATGTGTGTATATATACTGTGCACATATCTACTTTGGAGAAATACCTACTCAGCTTCTTTGCTCATTTAGTATTTGGATTCCTTGTTTTTTCTTTTTCTTTTTTTTTTTTTTTGTTATAGAAATTCTTTATTTCTTCTTGTTTTAACCAGTGGAAACATTTTTGATTTTTACAACTGGTAAGGATGAGTTTTCCACTACTATCTCTTGAGTAGAGGTAAGGACTGCTGCTAAGCATCCCATGACACAATGGATAAACACTACAACAAAGTCTTTCCCAACCCAGATTCCCAGTAATGATTCTGACCATGGAAAATCCTGCCCTAAAAATTATGTGTTGCGAGATATGATGTGAGGGAGATTGTTTTTACTCCCCCTGGCCAGCCAGACTAGATGTTTCCATGTTCTCAAGCTGTTTCTCTCTGGTTGTTGATAAACCTTTTCTCTTAAATAGAGAAGTAGAGAAGATCCTATTGCCTTGTTTATTAATAAACAATATTTTTAAAATGGACTTCCTTTGTTTTTCAGATTCTTAAATTCTCTATAAAGATAACCTTGCGTTTCCAGTTCGCCATGGCTTCCACCTCAAGGTAGGAGTGCTGTTTGATGAAATGGGTGGATAGGGAAACAGGGTAACAAGATGGGAAGACAGATGGAAGGATAGAATGGCCATACATCTGCCTGAGCTGTGAGACCAGAGAACCACCAAAAAGCCCCAAAAAGCCAAAAACCAAAACCAAGGAGTAGCCTAATAAAAACAGTACCCCATCAGGCTCCAAGAACAACAACCATGGGTTTTATTTTGTAAACATAGTAAACAAAGTATTTATTATATCCACAAGTGGCTGACTGTCTCATTCAGATAGTGTCAGTGATGGTCACCACTGGTCACAGGTGTGCTGGACAGCACTGGCCAATAGTGATGGTCACTACTGGTCCCTCAGAGGTTGTGTGAGTGACACATTTTGTTAACAGCTCTTTGTGAGTTGTTGGATTACACCGGCAATCAACAGCTCTTTGAGACTTCATGCCCAGGGCCTTTGATCCAGTCCCTGAGAATCCTTCAACTTCTCTTCTTGGAGATCAGCTGCTGGATACTTTTCTTCCTTCTTTGGAGGCCAGGAGCAGAGTCTTCCCCCTCTTCTTCATTTGGAGGCTGGTGTTATCTCTCCCCTTTTGAGGCTAGCATCTTCTCTCTCCCAGCTCTCTTCTTTTTTCTTTTTAAGATTTATTTATTTATGCATGAAGAACTGGGGTACAGGCAGAGGTGCAGGAGTGTGAGAGGATTCACCTGAGACAGTATGGAGAGCAGAATAGGCAGATTGATTGATGAAGTACACTGCTGAGGGGAGTAGTGGGCTAAACGGGAGAGGCCTGCTGTACCATGTGGTCACCTCCAGGTTGGGGGATTGAACTCGCACTGAAGTGTATGTGGCCTGCTTGCAGTGCTATGCTTTAACCTGCTGCACCACCAGGGAGGACTAGCCCCAGCTCTCTTCTAGCCAGTCTTGTATCCTCTTTCAGGATGCCCCCACTCACAGGTCTTACTGGATCGTTTGTCAATCCTGTGGCTCATTGGACCATTTACCAATCAACTCCTAGCACCTGATTGGTCCATTTCACGATCCAGAAAGAATACTGTTACATAAAAAGGCTCTGAGGAGCAACTACCACAACAGACTTGTGGATCAGCAGGGTTAAAGAACACCACTGCTGCAGCTGAAACTTGCTCTTGAGGCAGCTGGGTCTTGGTAACAAAACTCTGATTGGAACATTTTTCAATCCTGTGCCTGATTGGACCATTTAACACCAATAAGTTCATAGCTCACACCTGATTGGTCCCTTCCACAGTCAAGGTAGTACACCATTATATAAAAGTTCTGTGGGGAGTGGCCCTCCCTGGTGGAACAGCGGGTTAAAGCACAGCACTGAGAGGCTAAAGCCACCTTGGCATGAGTTTTATCCCCACCTGCCCGGGAGGTGACCACATGGCGTGGCAGACCTCATTTGGCCCACCCACTGCTCCCCTCAGCAGTGTACTTCGTTGATCTGCCTGTTCTGCTCCCCACTCTGTCTCTGGTGGGTCCTTTCACCGCCCCTGCACCTCTGGCCTGTACCCCAGTTCTGTATGCAATTAAATAAATCTTAAAAAAAAAAAAAAGTTCTCTGGAGAGCACAGCTGACTTATGGTGAAGCAGCGGGTTGAAAGAACTGCTCCTACTGGCTCCCACTGGTGAGGTGACAAAGTTCTGGTCACAATTACATAAGCATTTATTCCTCTGATTTTGAGTGGCCAAGTCTATGACAATTTTGGCTTTTAGTCCTCTGGCTTCATTGACTACTTGGTGTATGAGAAGCAAAAATGAGAAGAGGTAGTGGACAAGGTTAAAGAGAGGGCAAACCTATCTTTAAACAGGATGTGTGTGTGTGTGGTGGGGTCAGATGATATTGTACTAGTATCTACACTTGGCCTAAAAATATGATTTACAATACTCATCTTTCAAGACTTAAGACAGTTGACCCGGGACTGCAGGCTTTTCTATAAGGGTTTGAATGTTATGTGTAGAAGATGTTTAGGACCTGGGAATCAACTGCAGCTCTGGTGGTGAGATTGCTAGAAACCCCACCTGGGCATGTCTGGATCTCCGGCTAGTAATCTGGTGATGTCAGGGAAGGAGAGGTGTGGAGATGGTGGCTGAGAACCTGGCTCAGTCCAAGGACCATGGAAGATCTCCTTTTCTATTCTACTCAGGACTTGATAAATTCCTCACACCTTCAGAGTTCAGACCTCTACTTCATCCTCCAGCATAGAAGCTAGTGTAGTCAGTGCCTGAAAAGTGAGGTTAGAGTATTCCTTTAATGCATCTAAACTCCAAAGTCTTCAGAGAGGTAATATTAAGGGGAAGGATGTCCTAAAGAAATTCTGCAGAGTTTTGTGGACTCCACCCCCTACTCCAGCTTTCTGGATTTCACCCCTCACTCCAGTAATTGGAAAACTACAACTCCCAGCATTACCAAGGAGAGAACTGCGAGAACGCAAGGGCGGAGCTAAGCAGGCATTCTGGGACGTTGGGGGATAAATAGAGAGTGGTTTTCCAACTATTGCTCTGGAAAGGTGATGGCTTTCTCTCTCTGGAGCAACGGTTCTCAATCTTTGTATGGGGGCTAGCAGTTTTAGTTTGTTACTAGAGCTCTAAGTTAACTGAGCTGGTAAGATATTCTAGTTACTTTTTCCTCTCTTTCCTTAGGTGGTTCCTTTCCTTTCCCCTTTTGGTAAATAAACCCATTACTTTTTTGTGTGTGTCTGCAGAAAATTAGGACCCACTGATAGGCAGCCCAAGTTTACTCTGGGCTACTCTGTAACAATAATACCTATATTGTCTCTTAAAAATAGGATTGTTGTCACACAGGTCAAAACCTGGAAAGCTGCAGTGTCCATCTTGGCAGAACAGGCAATAATATTTCTGGTTCCTCACTACTCTCTTCCATCCCCAGTGATGGCTAAATATAGAGAGACATTTTGATCAGAGCCTCTTAGAAAATAGGTGTGTTCTGGCCACCTGTTTTACTCTTTTTTCCTCACCTCACTGTGTCTGCAGATTACCAGTTTTTTTCTCTCTCCCTGTTTCTTTTGTAGAATCTACTCAGTCATCTCTTCTAGACCATCTACCCTATGAACCTCACCATCATCTATCTAAAATAGTACCCCTAGTCCTTCTCCTTTATTACACTCTACCCCTTATCCAGGATAAAGGATGACCTTCTCCATCCCTACCTAATTCCATCCTGCTTAACTACTTGGTTGTTGACCTGTTGTCATCAGTAAGATGGTGAACAGAGTAAGTGACATGCAGATATTGTGTAGCATGTCCCCACTGCCAGTCCCTGGGCAGTACCTGCTCACAATCAGTGCTCATTAAATACAAGAATCTCTTGCCATTTTTTTTTGTTCCTACAGCCACCAATGATAGTTCGAGTAGCAGAAAGATGTCATATATGAAGGAAACCACCTGAAAATCCAATTGGACCCTGTATTTGAAAAGTGAGAGTTAAAATAGGGAGATTTTGAAAATTTGGGATGTGGGAAATTTTTATTGCCAAATGAATAAGAGAAAGGGTAGGGATTAGTAAAACAGAAGTATGAAGACAGATGTTGGGGCCACTGACTGAGGAGACTATAGTGTGTATTACTACAGCTACCCACACACTGTGGTCCGTTGGTAATGACTGTGGCCCCTGGATTTATCCTCTATTCAGAATATTTTATTTTAGAAGGAAAAGAAATATGTGACTTCTCTTGCCTCCCCTCAAATAAATACTTCTGCACTTGAAGAATAATCTGTGTTTGTCTGGAAAACTTACTTATCAGGCACTGTGCCTGATGATGATGTCAGGTCTTAAATACCATTCAAGCTCAGATGCTATGCAGTGCTCTCTTCTGGGGTGGTTCTTTAACGGATTTTTTTGTTGTTTTTTATTTTGTATTTTGCTGAAGCACTGGCTTCCCTCAATGGCTCCCTCTTCTGTTTCCTGTTGTAGTGGACTCACCTCTGGGAAAGGTACCAGTTTAAAGCTAAAATCCACAAAGCTGCTTGAGATTCTGAATGCACTGGAGGAGGAATCTGGCTACAGCAAAGAAGAGATCTTTATTACCCCACCTGATAATGCTGCAGGGGATTTTACTGACGAGGACTCAGGTGATGAGGATGGCTGGCGAGATGTCCACCTGCCTGGTAGTGTGCTCCATGCTTCAGTTGTGCCTGAGGATTCCATCCATGGGAAAGAAGAGGTTGACCTACAGATACAGCCAGCCACAAAGAAACTGAAGACAATAGTGGAACCTCAGCGTGTTTGGACCAAAAGAGATATACAGCCAGACTTCAGTAGTTGGACAGCATCAGATCCTCACATGGAGGATCTCAAAAGTCAGGAGCTGAGTCCTGTAGGACTCTTTGAATTGTTTTTTGATGAAGGAACAATTAATTTCATCGTTAATGAAACCAATCGATATGCTTGGCAGAAAAACGTCAACCTGAGTCTTACTATCCAGGAATTAAAGTGTGTGTTAGGCATTTTGATTTTAAGTGGGTATATCTCTTATCCACGGAGGAGGATGTTTTGGGAAACATCTCCTGATTCACATCATCATCTTGTAGCTGATGCAATTAGAAGGGACAGATTTGAACTGATCTTCTCATACCTGCATTTTGCAGATAACAATGAGCTGGATGAAAGTGATAGGTTTGCTAAGATCAGACCTCTCATTGTCCGAATGAACTGCAATTTCCAGAAGCATGCTCCCTTAGAAGAGTTCTACAGTTTTGGTGAGTCCATGTGTGAATACTTTGGCCATCGGGGTTCTAAGCAACTGCCTGTGGGGAAGCCCATGCGCCTAGGCTACAAGATCTGGTGTGGGACCACCAGCACAGGCTATTTAGTGTGGTTTGAGCCATCGCAAGGCACATTGTTCACCAAACCAGACAGGGGCTTGGACCTAGGAGGTAGTATGGTGGTAAAGTTTGTAGATGCGCTTCAGGAGCGTGGCTGTCTGCCATACCACATATTTTTTGACAAGGTTTTTACAAGTTTCAAACTGATGTCCATTTTGAGGAAAAAGGGGATAAAGGCCACAGGAACTGTTCGTGAGTATAAGACTGAGTGTTGCCCCCTTAAAGATGTTAAAGAACTAAAGAAAATGAAGAAAGGAACATTTGATTACAAAGTTGATGAGAGTGATGAGATTATTGTGTGTCGCTGGCATGATAGCAGTGTGGTCAATATCTGCTCTAATGCTGTGGGCATAGAGCCTGTGGGGCTGACCAGTCATCACTCGGGAGCAGCCAAACCACGGACCCAGGTCCATCAGCCATCTCTAGTGAAATTGTACCAGGAGAAGGTAGGAGGTGTTGGCCGGATGGACCAGAACATTGCCAAATACAAGGTGAAGATTCGAGGCATGAAGTGGTACTCAAGCTTCATTGGCTATGTCATTGATGCTGCCCTCAACAATGCATGGCAGCTACACCGGATCTGCTCCCATGATGCCCAGGTGGACCTGTTGGCGTTCCGAAGATACGTGGCCTGTGTATATTTGGAAAGCAATGCAGATACATCATCCCAGGGGAGGCGAAGCAGGCGCCTGGAAACTGAGAGTCGCTTTGATATGATTGGTCACTGGATCATCCACCAAGAAAAAAGGACTCGGTGTGCCCTCTGCCACTCACAGACCAATACTCGCTGCGAGAAGTGTCAGAAGGGTGTTCATGCCAAATGCTTTAGGGAGTATCACATCAGGTGATGCCTGGATGTGCCTATGGATGTTTGCTTTATGAATTGTAATACTTGTGTTATTTTTGTGTAGGGAAAACAGACCTGAGTACCTGATGTTGCATTTTCCCTCTATCTCCATTACAATTATATTTTCATTGTCCTCATTTATATCTTCTTATTTAAATTAATATTTATTTTAGTGTAAATGTGTTAAATCTGTATTTGTACTTTATTTTAACTTATGGGCCTCCCTTTTTTTCAAATAGGGCAGACAGATATAACCAAAAACTTTAGAGAAACTTGTGTGTATTGACTACAATCTAATATATAGGTAATAGTATATTAATATTGTATAAATATGATGAAAGATCATATCATCATATTTACCTCTTTGTGTGTTTTTAATTTGTTTACATTCTTGTTTATTTTTTCACATTATAGCATTTCTTCTCCCTGATGAGGTCACCATTGATTTCCACCACCAAATTGTCCACATTCCTGGACTAACCTCCACCATACTCTGGTCACCTGTTCTCTGTTCTCTCCCTTTCCACCTCACTCCATCCCCTGGGGTGTCTCAGATCTATGGGATCAAGCCTTATAGTTTGTCTTTTGTTTGATCTTTTGTTTGGTTTCTCTAGATTCCATATAGAAATAAGTCATCCAGTACTGTTCAGAATAATCCCTTCCAGTTTCATCTATGTTGCCACAAGTGACGTGAGTTTATCGTTTTTGATCACTGAGTAGTTTTCCATTGTATAAACATGTACCATATCTTCTTGACATTTATGTTGTTTTCATATGTTGGCTTTTTAAATAGTGGTGTAATAAACATAGGCATGCAGGTTTTCTTTTGAATTAATATTTTTCTGTCTTTGGGTAGATACTTAAGAGTGGAATTCCTCAAAATACTAATTTTTTTTCCATAGGGGATAGACCAGTCTGCATTCCCACCAGTAGTGTAAGAGGATTCCTTTTGGGCTACACCCTTGCCAGCACTTGTTTGTGGTTTTATTGATACGGGCCATTCTCACAGGTGTGAGGTGGTATCTTGTGGTTTTAATTTGCATTTCCATAACAATAAGCAGTGACAAACCTTTTTTTTTTTTTTTTCCATATGTCTGTTGGACATCTACAGTTCTTTGTAGAAATGCCTATTTTGGGCCCTCCCTGGTGGTGCAACAAGTTAGGGTGCAGCACTGCAAGCTGGCTGCAGCCACTGCAGTGCAAGTTCAATTTCTGACCCAGGAGGTGATCCACACGGCATGGTAGATCTCTCCTGACCCGTCCGCTGCCCCCTTCAGCAATGCACTTCATAGATTTATTTGTTCTGCTCCCTATTCTGTCTCTGGTGAATCTTCTCACCACCTCTGAACCTCTGGCTTGTATCCCAGTTTTCTATGCACAGATAAATAAATCTTAAAAAAAAAGAAATGCCTATTTCACTTTTCTGCCCATTTATTTGATTGAGTGGTTTTCTTTTTCTTTTTCTTTTTTTAAAGATTTATTTATTTATTCATACAGAACTGGGGTACAGGCCAGAGATGTGGAGGGTGAGAGAATTCACCAGAGACAGAGCAGGGTACAGAACAGGCAGATCGCGAAGTACACTGCTGAGGGGAGCAGCAGGCGTGTCAGGAGAGGTCTGCCGCCCCATGTGGATCTCCTCCAGGGCAGGCGGGGGTCGAACTCATGCGGAAGTGGCTTAAGCTTCTTTGTGCTGTGCTTTAACCCACTGTGCCACCAGGGAGGGCCCTGAGTGGTTTTCTTTTTGTTGAGTTGTGTAAGTGTTCTGTAGATCTTCAGTATTAATCCTTTATCAGATATATGATGTGGAAATATTTTCTCCAGTTCAGTAGAGTGTCTTTTTTCTGTCACTATCTCTGTACAGAAAATTTTGAGTTATTAGTAGTTCCATTTGCTTATTTTTCCCTTTATTTTCCAGGTTCTGTAGATGAGTGTTTTACCTATGTTTTCTTTTTTGTATTTATGGCTTCAAGTTTCACATAAAAATTTTTTGTCAATTTTGACTTAATTTTTGTATGTGATGTGAGCTAGTCATCTAGCTTCATTCTTTTGCATGTGGCATTACAGTTTCCTCAACATCACTTATTGAAGAGTCTTTCCTCATTCCAGTGTGTGTACTTTGCACCTTTGTTATATATTAGTTGTCCACAATGTGTTGGCTTATTTCTGAACTCTTAATTCTATTCCACTGGTCTTTATGTCTGTTTTTGTTGCAGTCCCATGTTGTTTTGAATGTTATGACTTTATAGTATAGTTTGAATTCCAGAAGAGTGATACCTCTATTTTTTCACCTTTTTAGTCAGGAAAGCTTTGCCTTTTAGGTGTTTTTTAGATGTCTGTGTATGTAGCTCCATACAAATTTTAGTAATCATTGTTCTATTTCTTTGAAGAATTGGGATTTTTATTGTGATTGCACTGAATATGTAAATTGTTTTGGATAAAATGGACATTCTGACAATGTTGATTCTTCCCATCCATGAGCAAGGTAACTCCATTTTTTCTTGTCATCTCATGATAAAAGTCTTTCACTTCCTTTGTTAAGGTTTATTCACAGGCATTTATTTTTGGTGAGATAGTAACTTTCATAATTTCCTCTTTTCTAGTTCATTATTTGTATATAGGATAACAGATTTTTGCTTGTTAATTTTCCTGCTACACTGAACTGGTTTATTTCAAAGAGTTTTTCCATTGAGTCTCTGGGTGTTACCCTTTTGTATTGTATCATCTGCAAACAATGATAGCTTTACTTTTTCCCCAATTTGTATTCCTTTCATTGCTTTTCTTGCTGAATTGTTTTAGTTTGTATTAAATAGTGATAGTGAGAGTGGACATCCTTGTACTAGATCTTAGTGGAAGGCTCCCAGTTTTTCACCATTGAGATAGATTCTAGCTCTGGATTTGTCCTATCTGGCTTTTTTTATTTTAAGATACATTCCATTTACCCCTAGTTTTTCAAGAGTTTTCGTTATAGATAGATACTGACTTAAGGAATCTTTCTCAGCATCTAATGATGTGATCATATTATTTTCTTTACTTTTTGTTAATATGGTGCAATATATTGATTGATTTTCAGATGTTGAACTGTCCTTGTATTTTTTCCTAGTATAAGTTCCACTTAGATATAGTGTGTAATCTCTTTTTTTTTCTTTTTAAAGATTTATTTATTTGTGCATACAGAACTGGGGCACAGGCCAGAGGCTCAGCGGCAGTGAAGGGCTTCACCAGAGACAGAGTGGAGAGCAGAACAGGCAGATCGATGAAGTACATTGCTGAAGGGAGCAGCGGGCGGGTCAGGAGAGGTCTGCCACGCCAGGTGGTCACCTCCGGTGTAGGGGGGAATCAGACTCATGCAGAAGTGGCTTTAGCTTCTTAGTGCTGTGCTTCAACACACTGCGCCACCAGGGAGGCCATAGTGTGTAATCTTTTTAGTGCATTGTTGTATTCAGTGTGCTGTGGCTTATAAAAAATTTTTATGTCTTCATTAGAGAGATTGTTCAGTAGTTTTTTTCTTTGTGTTGTCTCTGGTTTTGGTATTATTATAATGTTGACCCCATAAAATGTATTTGGAGGAATTACTTCTTTCTAGATTTCTAGACTTTGAACAGGATAGGTATTAGTTTGTCTTTGAAGGTTTGGTAGAACTCATTTGTGAAGTCATTTTTGGGGGGGAGGGGTGCAAATTTGATTACTATTTCAACTTCCTTGCTTCTGATTGGTTTGTTTGTCTATTCCCTATTCAGTAGTGGTCAATTGTATTATTCTAAGAATCTGTCCACTTTGTTGTTGAAGTTGAATATAAATGTTTATAGTAATCCCTTGTCATTCTCTGAATGTCTGCAATGTCTGCTGTAATTTCTTCCCTTTCATTCTTGATCATATTTATTTATCCTATTTCATTCTTGATTCCTCCTTTTTTTAGTGAGCCTAGCTAATTGTTTGTCTGTTTTGTTTATTTTTTGAAGCACTACCTTTCAGTCTCATTTATCTTTTGTATTGTCTTTTTGATTTCTATTTCGTTTATTTTGGTTCTTTTGTTACTTCTTTCTACTGGCCTTTTGTTGTTTTTTCCTAGTTCCTTGAAATGAGACACAAGGTTATTTATTTGAACAAAGAAATTCCTAGTTTCTTATTGAAGTAAATTGCTTTTGCTGTGTGCCATGGATTCTGAAAGGCTGTGTACATATTTTCATTTCCCTCAAGGAATTTTTAAATTTCTTATTTTATTTCCTTATTAACCAAGTGGTGGTTAATAGTGTATTGTGGCCTCTATATATTCTTTTTCCTTGTTTTCTTTTTGTAGTTGATTTGTACTTCAATACCTCTATGGTACTGAGAAGATGTTTGGTATGATTTCTATGTTCCTGAATTTGTAAATGTTTGTCCTGTCACACAATATTGGTCAATCCTGGCGAATAACCCATGTACACTTGAAAAAGTGTATATTTGGCTTTTTGCAGTTGGAGGAGGGTGGAGTTTAGTACCACTTAAATACCTATTAGACCCATATGTAGTTCCTTGTTCAGGGCAACTTTGTCCTAATATACGTTCTCTCTCATTTATCTGTCCGTTTGTGAATATGAATTATTGAAGTCTCTAATAACCACATGAATTTTTTCAGTCTTTTCAAATTTGATAGTAGTTGCCTGCTATATTTTGTTTCTCCTTTGTTTGGTGGGTATATACTTATGACTGTTTTCTGAGTATTGTTCCCTTGATCATTGTACAGTGTTCACCTAGCCTGTTTCTTGTTACCTTTTTTAAGCTAGAGTCTATTATGTCTGAATAAGTATGACAATGCTTATCTTCTTTGGGTGACATTTGCCTATAGAATTGTTATCCATCCATTTGCTTTCAGTCTGTTTTTATGCTTGGTACTGAGGTATGTTTCCTAGCGGCAGCAGAAGGTTAGATTTTGTTTCCTAATGCAACCACATACTCTGTGTCTTTTTATTGGTGAGTTCAGACAATTAACATTTAAAGTGATTATTGACATCTAAATGC